TATTTTATTGGAACTGCTGGTGAGTAGTAAACTATGAGAATTTAATGTACATTTTGTGGATGCATATGTCTATTTTTTTTCTAGATTGTGACAATAGTAACTCAGATGGGCTGCATTCATTTAAGAGGGGTGGTTGAATTGTAGAAGACTTGGAATGATATGAGCTAAACATGAATTGTGATGTGAATGTGTGCAGAAAATGAAAAAATTATTTGCAGGGCCTTCTTTAATAATGTTGTAAAACTTTTCAAAGCATATTCCTTGCAAAACATACATGATAATTTACAGTCTACAGACAAATTAGATTTTGGTCTTTATCTGCATTGGTCTTCAAGGTCTCTAAATTTAACATAGAGAGGCACTTAAAGCCTTGAAGCTTGTCTCTTCATCTCTCATCTCTTCACCTCTCATTACCACTAGTAAGACATACTGGCGCCCATATAACTACTCATTTTAAATGTGATTGATGGTATCTAATGCTATCAAACCATGAATGTTATGTATTCTGGAGCTGCTAAGAAAACCAGACACACTAAAGTTTTGTGTAAACACAAGCTACAGTTCTCCACATGTCTCTGTGCCTCAGATTTCCCCTTTTTAATGCAAATGCTTCCTCATATTTGTGTCAAAATGGGTCCAATCCCTAGCACACACAAACACGCATCAGGAGATAAATTTTGGGAATCAGGCAGAGAGGACGCTGGCGTTGGCTGTTCGCCGCTTCTCTGCAAATCCGTCAAAATCTGTCCTTTTCTGCAAAATCCATCCTACTGTACCGTATTCTGGGAACTCAGTTACTACAGTAAGAGACAGATTATTTTGTAGTACACACCGAATTTGTTGTGGTACCCTGGACTTACCTGTCACTACGCTGGACACTGCTTGCTAAGTGAATCGTCCTTTTCTCTGGGCTTCAAATCCCCCAATCCTGCTGCTTCCTTTTGTTTCCATCAAACTGGATTATTCCTACGGAGATGTCTAAGTGCTTCATGCCCTCCCTGGATTATCTCTGCACGTCGGCCTGTTAGCCCGTGGCAACTTGTTTGGGTTGGCTACGCTAACAGAGTTAGCCGGAGCAACTCTTCTGTTTACAGAGTCCTATCAGCACCATCAGTCTTCATAAATCTTCCAGTGCCTCCGCCTTCCAGCGGAGGTCTGTGAATGGAACACCACCTCTGTTGAAGCTGTGGATCATCCTTCTGGGTATGGCTTTTTTCCACCGCTGCTCACCTGGATCCTGGCTAACTGTTAGCACCGGCACACCATCACGCCACTTGTTGCCCATCGACACCACGATACAACCACTTCGGATTCTCAACATCAACAGAGCTCCATTGGATCTTCCACGTCGACCCAGTTACATCCACCGGGGATCCGGGCGCCGCCTTGTAATGTCCAAACGCGGTGACCACAGCTCCATCGCATCCTTCTGGTCGGCATCACGTCCTGTCGCGCAACAGGTACGTCACCATCTGCGTCATCTGAGCGCCGCTATGCCTACCTCAGATATGGCTGAGTTGGACCGGCGAACTGGAAGACCTGGAGTGGATTTCAGCGTTCTCCGCTCTCTGCATAAACTGGACTCAAATTCCCACATCACAATGGAACAGCTTAATGTGCAGTCACTGTCAAAGAAATCCGGATTCATCCACGATCACATTCTGGACAAAGAAATAGACATTCTCTGCCTCACAGAGACTTGGCAACAGCCCGGTGTCTACAGCTCCCTGAATGAGGCCTGCCCACAAGGGTACTCATACCTGGACAAAGCCCGCACAACTGGGCGGGGTGGGGGCCTTGCTGTTTTATTTCGCAGCTACTTTGCAGTGTCCCTCCTGTCTGTACCCGGTGCTTCCTCCTTTGAAAGCCTTGTTTTTAAATGCAATAATCCTTTCTCTGCTACAGTAGCTGTCATATATCGCCCCCCTAAACCACAACCAACTTTCATTTCTGACATTCATCAGTTCCTAATCTCTCTCTGCACAGCACACTCAAATATTCTTGTAATTGGTGATCTCAATATACACATGGACTCACACACTTCCCGTCTAGCTGCCGAATTCAAACAGGTTTTGGACTGTCTAAATCTTCAACAGCTGACAGATGGCCCCACCCACAGCAAAGGGCATACTCTGGACCTTGTTATAACTGACTCCCTTCCACTCACCAGCATCAACATATACGATGTTGGTGTCTCAGATCACCTGGCAGTTACATTTAGACTCCCAATAACCTTTTTCACCAAACCAAAACGCCATATCACTTTCAGAAACATCAAAAACATTGATTCCTCATCCTTCAGCTCACATCTTCAGCATCTTTCCCCCTCTCCACTCTCATCAGCCAGTGACTTAATGGACTTCTACAACACAAGCCTCAACTCCATCCTGGATACTCATGCTCCTGTAATAACCCGGACTGTCACATTCACACGTTCCGCTCCTTGGTTCACCAAAGAGCTAAGGCAAATGAAGAGGTCTGGCCGTGTCCTGGAGCGGGCATATAAAACATCTGGCCTGACGGTGCATAAATTGGCCTACCGGGAACATCGCAGAAATTATGCAACAGCCCTCTCCAAGGCCAGGTCCAATTACTACTCCTCGCTCATCAACAATAACCCAGGTAATTCCAGAAAACTCTTTTCCACAATCAGCCATATTCTCAAACCACAGGTCTCCTCATTCTACAACCACACAGATATAAACTGCAACCGGTTTCTGGACTTCTTCATATCAAAAATAGACAGCATCCGCTCTTCACTTTCACCTTCAAACAGCACCACTATTGATACCCCTGAGACATCTCCCACACAACTCCTATCACACTTCTCTCTGCCAACGCAGCAGGAGGTCGAGAACATCATCCGCAAATCTAAATCATCCACCTGCTCTTTAGATCCCCTCCCATCCCCTCTGCTCAAAACTCACCATCAATCCATTAGTCATCTCATAACCAAAATAATAGCCAGTTCGCTGGAAACGGGTACCGTCCCATCTACCCTTAAAACTGCCCTCATTAAACCCCTCCTAAAAAAAACCACCTTGGACCCTGAACCTCTGTCAAACTACAGACCCATTTCAAACCTCCCATTCATCTCCAAACTCCTAGAAAAAGTTGTTTCCACCCAGCTCCACAACCACCTTAAATGCAATAATCTGTATGAAAAATTCCAATCAGGTTTTCGCCCCTCCCACAGCACAGAAACAGCTCTCATCAGAGTCACCAGCGATCTGCTGATGGCCTCTGATTCCGGTTTCACGTCCCTCCTCATTCTTCTTGACCTGTCTGCTGCGTTTGACACAGTAGATCACCACATCCTCCTCCACCGCCTCCAGCATTTCATTGGTCTCTCTGGCACTGCCCTCCACTGGTTTCACTCCTACCTCACTGACAGGACCGAGTACGTGGCCCTGGGGGAGGCAAAATCCAGACCTCACACTGTCACCTGTGGGGTCCCCCAGGGCTCCGTGCTCGGCCCTACCCTGTTCACCATCTACATGCTCCCCCTTAGTTGTGTCGTCGGCAGGCATGGGGTCAACTTCCATTGCTATGCTGACGACACACAACTTTACATTAAAATGACTCCTCCCAGCTCCCCCGCCAACTCTGTCACCCGCCTCAGCTCCTGCCTGGAGGATATAAAGGCGTGGATGAGTCAAAACTTCCTGCAGCTTAATGCCTCAAAAACAGAGGCCATCCAAACTGGTACTCCTCATCAACTCCGTTCCTCTCCTCTCACCTCTGTTTCATTCTGTGGTCATACCATTCCCCTCTCTCCCTCTGTTACAAGCCTTGGGGTCAAGCTTGACCCCCACCTCTCCTTTGACAATCATGTCACCTCCATCTGCAAAACGTCCTTCTTTCACCTCCGTAATATCTCTAAACTCCGTCCCTCCCTATCCCTCCCTGCTGCAGAGAAGCTCGTCCACGCCTTCGTCTCCTCCAGGCTGGATTACTGCAACGCTCTCCTCGTCGGGATCTCTGGCAGGAGCCTTCAGAAGCTCCAGTATGTACAGAACAGCGCTGCCAGGGTCCTGATGAGGGTGAGGAAACACCAGCACATCACTCCCATCCTTCACACTTTACACTGGCTGCCCATTCACGCCCGTATAGAGTACAAGATTCTTCTGCACACCCATCACTGTGTGCACGGTGCGGCCCCCATGTATCTCACTGAACTGCTCACACCACACACCTCTTCCCGGACCCGGTCAGGCCAACAGCACCGTCTGGCCCCACCCAGGACACGGCTAAAAACAATGGGCGACAGGGCCTTCGAAGCCGCAGCTCCCCGTCTGTGGAATGCCCTCCCAGACCACCTTAGGGCCCCACAGACGGTGGATTGTTTTAAGAAAGGACTAAAAACTTTCCTTTTTAGAAATTCCTACAATTGTTGATTTTAGATTTTCTTTAATAGGCTACGTATGCCTTTTAATGTATTGATTTTAATGACTGTCTTTTTACTCTGTTTTTAATGTTATGGTCTTTTAAACTTGTTTTGTAGCACTTTGAGATTTGAAATCAAATGTAAAGTGCATGATAAATAAAATTCATTATTATTATTATTATAAATACACTTAATACATTTAAACAATTATAAACTATATATTTTTGGTTCTCTGAATATCTACTGTGACCTAACAAACACACTTCTTGTCTCGCATTTGTTATTGTGGTCTCTGCTCACTAAATATCAGTTTCGAGTGAAATATTTGGTAGATAGGTAATTATTGGATAATTGTGGAGATTGTTTTCATAAGAAATACTATTATTTGTTTTACTGGAGCATTTTCTTAGGAACAATTAATAGCAATGAATGACTATGATATGTCAAAATATCTTAGTTCACACCTAAAAAAGTCAAGTGAAAGAGTCAGCCATTACTGTAAGATCAATTCACTAAAATAATTTGCTTTTGCACTTAATATAATGATCTAATTAGTTTATTTTTTTCCCACTTTTCTTGTATTTGACAGGGTCAAAAGTAAACAAAACTCCGAACCAGGTGTTGGCATTGCTGTTCAGCGAGCAAAAATATCCAACTTTAATCTGCCAGAATGAGTTCAGAGGTAAACACCACCTGCCAGCCCAAGGACAGTGAAGTTGGGAATGTGTTTCTGATGATCTTCCTGATGGTTGAGACGCTTGTGGGCATACCGGGAAGCATCATGGCAATATGGATTTTCTGTTGCCGTATGGAGTCCTGGAAATCTCATGTCACTTTCCTCTTTAACCTGTGTCTGGCTGACTTGCTGCTTTTTCTCAGTGTGCCCTTCCGCATCGACTCCCACTGGCGAGGAGATGACTGGAACTTTGGACCGGTTTGGTGTCGGATTAACCTGTACATGTTGTCTGTCAATCGATCCGCTAGTATCTCTTTCATGACAGCCGTGGCACTGGACCGTTACTTCAAGGTGGTTCATCCATATCACTCTGTCAGTCGACTGCTTTCGAGACACGCGCACAAGTTTGCAGCTCTGATATGGCTCATTGTAGTTTTGTATCGGATCCCATTGTTGACCACCAACCTCCTTCATACAGACCATAAGACAGGAAAAAAACTGTGTCGCAGCTTCCACTCCTACAAAGTAATCCCTCTGGAAATGAAAGTTCACTATGTTGCTTATATTTTAGAGTTTTTCCTGCCATTATTTTTGTTGGTTTTCTGCTCTGTAAGGATTGCCTGCCAAGTACGAAAGTTGAGAATGGACAAAGAGAGAATACACCAGGTCATCAGAGCTGTGATGGTCATCATTGCAGTGTTCACCTTCTGCTTCCTGCCAGGTGTCTTTTCAGGCCTGGTGAGTCTGTACATAAACATATATCACCAAGAGGCATGTGAATCCTACGAGTTTTGGATTAATCTCTTCAAGGTGTGTATTGGCTTCACCTACCTCAACAGTGCCTTGGACTCTGTCATCTACATTTTCTCAAGCTCTGTGTTTCATCGTAAACTCAAGAACTCCTTCAGATGGAGAAGGACTCCAGAGCAACTCGTAACCTATAGCTCCTGACAGGTAAAGCTTGTTATTGCAACTAGAGGAAGAAACTGTGAAGGAATATACATGCAAGTCACTTTTTTAATGCCAATGGGTGTTGAAGCATTGAAAACCAAAACCAATGTGCCCACCCACGTAGCTCTCCATTGCCTTGGATAGGCTGTGTGCTGCATAATACGCTGTAATTTGAGGGCTGAATTTGCTGCACAGTCCTATGGATGTGACATATTTAACACTGTATGTGTGCACTGACAACTTTGATACAGGAAGTTATGGTTGTTTTAGTATTAGTAAAAGAAGAAGACTGAAATAACCAGCAGTTACTTACTTTGTTGCAGGTGTTTGTCGCTGTTAGCACAATTTGCATGGTGATCTTGTTGTAAACCTTCATGTAGTAAACAGCATTATATAAACACCAGTGCTGTACTTTGAATAAGGTCTGTCCATGAAGTATTGCTACTTACTCGCAGCGCCTGTCATGTCACTTGGAAATTGTCATTTCCTCATCCTGCCTCTAGTTCCTTGGGATATTTAAGATTTTGGTCACCATTTTCGGCACTCTTTATGAGAACCTTACATGAATAAAATAGTATACTTGAATGTATCTGTGACTTATAGTCTGCTGTGACTATCTATGGTTTATTTTTCTTCATAATGTATATAGCGACTGGTAAGACTTATACTTCAGTGTGAATTGAACCCTGAACAAACCAAACCGATTATGTGTCCAATCCAACAGAAAATGGTTTTGTACAAGATCCTGGCATTTACCTCTCAATGAAAGTCAACAGGGATGGACATGATTTTCTGCACAGGATTTGCGCAGCTCTGCTTTGTAGCTACGGCTTTTAAAACATTTTTATTACTTGTTATAATGTTTCCCAGTCAAATTTGGGATAGTGTTTCAATTTAATGTGCAAAAGGACAGAAGTAAAAATAAAAAATCAGCATAATATTGGGATCTGCTCACCCTGCAAAGTCGGAGCCTCTCTATACACAGTCAGTCAGGCATTGAAAAAAATTTGATGAGAGATTAAAAAGTCTTATGCAACCAGTGTGACCTAGCCTTTATAGTCCGGAAAATACGGCATCTTATAAAAGTATAAGGAATTCAATTTTTAATTTATTCTCTTTTTAATTGCAATTTAGTACAGGTACAGGTACAGGTACAGGTACAGGTACAGGTACAGGTACAGGTACTTAACCTGGCAAGTCACTCGGGTTAAATGCTAAGGCTTTTTTTACCTTCCCCAATAACTTTATGTTTTTAGGAGAGTGTGTGTGTGTGTTTGTCTGTCAAAGTACAGTATAACCTGAAAAGTTATGGACAGATTTTAATAAATTTTTTTTTCAGAGGTGTCCCTCAGGCCAACTAACAATCCATGAAATTTTGTTGATGATCCACATCATAAGGTCGATTAAGGATTTAAAAATATTCTCTAGATTGTGAGATAGGGATATTTTGCAGGACAAGCAGTTCCCCTCTAAACCATAGGGTGGCAGCAGTGACTTTTGACAGCCTCAGCATCCGACTCAAAAAGTCCTGAGGTATTTTACTGAAGACAAAAACACACAAAAAGGGGAACGTTGTTGGTTTGTTCACAGGATCAATTAAAAACTTATCAATAGATTTAAGGATTTTTTTTTTTTTTTACCATAGGTGTGCCTTATGCCAAGAAACAATTAATTTAAATTTGGTAATGATCCATATCATGTGCGAGTTTTAGGTGTAAGTCATAATTTGGGGCAAAATGTTCTGCTTGGCGGAGGTCTGCGCTCTGCGAGTGCTTTTTTTTGTTGGATAATAAATTCACACACAATAAGCTAACAAAGCTAGCTGTAGTTTTGGTAAAATAATACTTGTTTTTTGTTGTGGTTCTCTTTTTTATTCTTTTCTAATTTAATTTATGCCCAGGTTCTGCACCCTGACCGGCTAAAGGAGATTCATCTCAGTCACTCGGGTTTTCTTCATTCTACGGTGATCTTCAAGATGAAGGCACTAGTGATAGCTTCTAAGACATGCACTTGGAAGGCTGCCTGTTGGATGTTGTTGGATAGAAGAAGGTCGAACTGGTGCACATTTCTTTGGCTTTACTCATGTCCATTTATCTAATTATTGATAAGCAATCTACTGAATGACCAAAAGTTCAAATTTTGGAGGATAAAGGTTTCTAACCTTTCACAACTGCAAAATGTTTTTTAGGTTGTGTCTGGAAAATATGTGCTGTATATGAGGCAGTCAGAGGAGATATAATAAAGAAAGAACATTCTCTTTTAGTGTGAACGTCTTTGAAAAGAGGAAGAGGATAAATGACCAGTTTGTATCACTAAGATGACTTGGAGCCTTAAATACATCAGAGTGAGTTCTGACATCTGAAAACAGAGATAACCTGTCAAAGTCATTGTTTTAAATTCTTATCCTCTTGCCGATCAGCTATCAATTGATCCATCCAGACACCCAGGGCAAGTGAAAAAAAGGTATGACCTGCCTTTTGCCCACAAACTGATGATAGATAGGCAGCAGCCTCACTGTGACCCTTACAGATGAGTAGAAGGAGATGGATGAATTCAGAACTTCTGCTTCTTTGCATTAAACACAGTAACTATTACAGTTAGGCTAATACTTAGAAAAGGAAAGGGAAAAAGACAGTTGCTTAGCCAGCAATATTTTCCCAAAAAGATGCTTAACAACATAGCATACATTTATTTTCCTGAAGAAAATATTATGGTTAACTATTAGGGCACAATCTGAAGAATCAGATTCAAATAAATATACAACCCATTAAAACAAAGTTGATCTTCACTTATCTACAGGTTTATTTATCACTATCAGCCTAATATGTATGAGCGAATAACAGCCTCTCATACACATACAATAATATTTGATAAAACTATCTTAAGCGCAACAATTTTAGACTTAACATCTGCAGTTATTTGTCCCTACGCCTGAGTTTTTCAAGCCTCAGTTGGTAACTTACCATCTACTGTGGTGTTTGAGACACGCAGGGCTTGTTATGCAGCTTCATACATAATTCAGTTTCTGATCATTTTTTCTTTGCTTCTATGTTCTTACTGTTTTACACTTTTTTTTGTGTTGTTAATACTTGCAGCAGATCTGCCCTGACCAGATATTATGTCCTTTCTGTGTAACTCAGTTCTGCTAAGTGCCTCTGGGCAACAGACTGACTTAAGTAGTTTTTTTTTTGTTGTTGTTGTTTTTTTTTTTTTAACAGAGACTTTGTGTTTGTGGCCTGGAAATACCCAGCATATCCTACATAGTCTTCCTCATTTTACCCACTAGTGATAGGCATAAATAGTGGAGACTATATACATGTATTTTGTCTTTGACTCTATAGCAATCCCTTACACCTGCATGTATGCAGCAACAGTGGAGAGGGAACCCAGGCTCGGTGTGAGACGGGTTTCAATGTGACATGGTAGATCCAAAAAAGGAAAATTAAAAACCATTTACTGGACTAGCTGGAAGGGATTAACTCACTTCCTGCTATCATCACAGCCTCTGTATAGGGGAGCGGAGGACCTTGCCTATTCAGCCAGGCCATCAATTCCCTTTAACGGCCAACTTTTAGACAATTAGACGGGTATAGGGCATTGCAGGCTAACAAAAGAAGCGACCCCCATTCCAAAGGGGTGGACCCCGTTGTCCGTTTCAATTTGCATGTTTTCAAAAACAAAAACAAGGCTTTGTTGGGCTATTGTATAAAACCTCAAACTCAACGCTATTCCTGACATTTTGAATTGGAAAAGCTTCTTGGATGGGAAGCAAAACGTCTTCACCTTGAAAATAAAGTCCAGTGGATTGTGTTTAATTTTCTTTGTTTGGAATTACTATGACCTGGGTCACTGGGAATCTTCACCAGCGCTGCCTTGGAAAGAAACAATTAAACGGACAGGCTTTGAGTCAGTTTTCATGTCAATGGATGAAAGAGAGCACTTACAGTTAGTCACAGTGAAAGCTGAGCCCGTAACTATGTCTAGAAGAGAGACTGAATTAAACACTAAAAAACAGGCCCAACTTTACCATCTGATATTTCTCTCTAGGATGGTGTAATAGCCAAACACGAACAGACCAGATAAAGCCACTGGGATGAGAGCAGAGAGAACAAAGTTAGTGGTTAAACCAACAAATTATGCAGATCAGGAAAAGATAATAGAATGAAGCAGAATTATGTAAAGGGGTCTATATGTCCTCTAGCAGCAAAAGATTATAACAGTACAACCAAGTCTCCCCTAGCATCATACACTTCCCCTTTATAAATAGGTAAATTCTGATTAAATATTAAAGTTAAACTCCTACTAGCAAAGACAATTACAATCTACATTTAAAATGATTTACCACGAGGAAAGGGTTTGCTTTGTTGCTTCTTTCTTCACTTCCCTCAGCTAGCTAGGCTAACTAGCAGCCTTACAAAAATGCTTCATATGAAACAGCATAATATGCCTTGATTGAAACTTATCAGTCTGCAAACACACCAATGTGTCTGAGAATGGAAATTAAAACGCTGAATGAGGTAATTTTCTCAATAACGTTATCAGTCTCTCAAAATTATTTAAGAGACTGATGAGGACATTGCGAAAAAGACTAACATTGAGCAATAAGGATCAAATATTACATAAGAGCTGGTGAGGATGTACATAATTTGTCACATAAAGCCTATTCCTTTTCACTTCATCTTTGTGTAATGAATTATTACACTGCTTGGTCTTTTTGAGTTAGTTTTTTCAGGTTATGTATAGACATTTTAAAAACTGATATGTTATCTTAGATTTAAAAATTGTGTCTTATCTTTTCATGTTTATTTCTTTATATGTTTATTTGAAATTAAAACTTTAATCTATTTAAAGATATGTGTGTCATAAATCCTCTTGAAAGCTTAAAGGCGAATGCTTTCCCTGCAACTTTTATTTTTTTAATCTTAGGTTACAACATCATGTTGTGACAAGCCCTCACACAACCAGCTTATTGTGAAAAAATATCTCACACCTTTTCACTCTACACTCTCTACATGGGATTTGCGAGCATCGTCTTTACTATCTGAACCGCATTTCTTCCCTTTAACTGTTGGTGAGTATTAAAGCATGAAGTTTTGATGCACTTTTTATGGATGCCTGTCTTTTTCTTTTAGATTTGAACTGTTAAAACAAAGATAGGTTGCAATAATAATAAAAAAAATGTACAAAAGCTGAATTAAGACAGACTTTGAAGGATATGGGCTAAATACTTGTGTAAATTCATAAAGAAAATGAAAGTTTTACCTGAGTTTTACATTCTGTAAAAAACTTTTAAAAGCATATTTCTTTTAAAATGTCAATTATAATGTATGGTGTTAAGTTTGGAATTTTCTGCAATGGTTTTCATGGAAATTATTTTATGAATTTAACATAGGAACACTTCTTGCAAAACCTATAATCATAAATGCAACGTAGTCTCTTCTACTAGCAGCAATATGACTGTTCATTTTAAATTTGAAACATTTAATGTGACTCTTTTTGGAGTTACTAAAAAAACTAGACACGCTTTTGTCTTTTTTTATGTAAACAAAAGCTACAGTTCTGAACATGTCTGCACTTCAGATTTTCCCTTTTCGATCATCTCAAATGCTTCCTCATAGCTGTGTCTAAAGGAGTCCAGTCCTTAACACACACATGCATCCACTCATAAATTCAAATACTATTACAATCATATGGTACTTTTATTCTAAGAAAACATTTTAACATCAATCTGAACTGATGGATGACTTCATACCCATAAAAAACTACATGTTGAGACAGTGCAGCTATTTAAATCTTGAAAGATTCAGCTTTTTTTTTTTTTTTATGTTATAGCTCAACAGAAAACTTTTAATAATGCAAAAAAAAAAGAAAAGCTGTTTTCAGGTTAGGATTTCATTTATTCATGTGTGAAAGCTCTATGCTTACATGAAATCTTAGTTTGCAACTACTAAAAAGAAAATATGATTTAGCACTTTGTTTCTTATTCAGTTTCAAACACCACACCCCGATCTGACTTGATATTGTTGAGAGCAGTGGTTAAACAAAAAGAAACTGAAAACATGAAGCACACCATGCCCTGATCTAATGTATTTCAAGAAAATATTAGATACTTAACATCTATCAGTCTAAAAATAGGGCTATGATATTTCTCAAGCTTTGGGACTCAATTAATCACAGACAGAACAAGTATCAACAAACTGAGATAAAGGAATCGGGGTGAAGCTCTACTGAAGAGCATTGTTGGTTTATCAGCTTGTGACCCTAAGTTCAGTCTCATTTGTGATAAGTAGTATGAAAATAATACTTAACACACTAGCAAGCTGACGACTGAAGAACTGAAATAGCCAAAATTAACTTTTGAAGTGGCCTAGTCAAAGTCTTGACTTTAATCCTTAGAGGATGCCGAGTGCATGACCTTAAACAGGCTGTTAGTGCTTTAAACCATCCAATGTGCCAAAATGTAAACATTTATGTGTTTGCCTTTTAAAAAAAAAACAAAAAACAAAACATACATAGCTCAGTTTTACTTTGAATTCATTGGATTAATGATTTTTTTTTATGGATTTATCTGATAAAGTTTGCTGTATTTCTTGTGTTCATGCTTTAAAAACAATCTGCATTGGCTTATGAATTCATCCGCATCTTGTTTTTGTTCTTCTTAGCTGTTTTTGTGGTTGTCTAACTCCCACTTTCCAACCAGGCAAACACTCCCTTAGTCATTGTCTTCCTCCATTTCTGTCTTGCCAGATATTCTTCTGTTCCTTGTCCAATCCACCTCCTCCTTCTCTGTGAGTACGTGTTCACACTCATGCCTGATTTCTGCACAAAAAAAACCCATTCATATCAGTCTAATTTTTGGCAGGGGGGGCAATAGATAACAAATATCATTAATCATCAGGGCGTCATGATTTATACTTTTGTGCAAATAATCACACAATAACTTCAACTTCTGTTCCAACAAAAATATTTGCATATGACTCCACAACACATTGGCTGTAAGACAAATCATTGCTGTTTATGGGGTGTTTGTACTGGTTTGCTGTTTGCTTTTGACCAAATATGGTACTATGTATCAGGGCCAAACATCTATAATAGCAAGCCCACCACTGAAGAACTCAAATAACACAAAATAAGCTTTGGATGTGGCCAAGTCAAAGTCTTGACTTTAATCCTGACAGGTGTTTTTATACAAGCTATTACTGCCTGAAAACCATCCAATATGGCAACATTTAAACAATTTTAAGCCATGGTCTTTTTTTCTCAAAAAGATTAAGATAATGAAGAAATCCATTACTAATTTTTTGCATATTTCCCCATATTTCCGGACGAGATGTCCCTGATAAGAACCAAGTAGGACTTTTGAGCCAAGACTGAAAAGCCTGTATGAGGAATACTAACAATGCATGTTAACCAGAATATGGTGAAGTAGCAACATGCATTAAAGACACTTTTCTTTACCAGGGCAGGGAAAGCTGTTCAGAGTTCTTTTTGCAAGTAAAACTAGGCAAATATTTAAGCTCTGGAGATGGACAAAGCAAGTAGAAAGACTACCCAAAAAGCTATTTCAATTAAAATGACAAACGTTGATTCAGGGTGGCAGATAGCTTTAAATAGAGATTAAAAACCTATTGGGTTGGAACTGCATTTGATTGTGCTATTACTTATTAACTAGATCATCATTACTTTTAGTTTTAGTCCTTTTTCTTTATCTGCCTGTGTAATCTAATGCTATGTAATTTCCTCTCCATTCGTTTCTTTGGTTCATAAACAGGGCTTTAAACTGTTTTGTAACTGGAATCGGCTATACAAATAAATGTTGCTTTCTTTAAGATGCGCATGTCAGAGGTTTTAATAGAACTAGTCAAAACCTTGTGCTTCCTTTTTTGAGGTATTGATGGATATGCAACATACCGTATGACATTGCAAATATGCAACACACCATACGTCTTACTCAACCAACCAAAAATCTCCCCAATGCCTGTTTAACATTTTCAGTTTGGACCTTGTGACCGTTAGCAAGAACTTTTCTTGTAAAGCTGGTCCCTTATGGTGTGTATTATCATGTTTTAACTGTTGTCACAAATTTGAAATAAACCTACATTTTGTTAAACTTTTAGTCATAGTAACAATTACATTTTAGCCACTTTAATACATACAAATCACAACAAAAAAACACAATATAATTTTTATATTTGAATCTATACTCTCATATGTCCATGTATTTATTTTTCCCAGGCCACACAGTCTACCAAAAGTCTGGTTTGGTCTTATTCACACTTTATTTAAGGATATTTTATTCTTCAATCCACCTTATTTATACTCCATTGTCGTCAGCAGAAAAAACTTTTACTGTTTCTTGTTTCTCTCTCCTTATAAATATTGCCAAAAGATGTGTCTCTGTTATCTCGTGAGCAGTTTGTTGCATTGGTATTAGGTAACTGTTTTTACTCATGCATAATTTCACAGGGAAACCACAAACTACTTACAAGTCAAGAACCTACCATCTAATATCACAAACAGTTATATTAAAATTCTCAAATGTTCTTTTTTATTGCCAGTCAGGTAAACGATACCCAAACTCACAAGATATGGATCTGGCTTAAAAGAAGCAGATTCTCGGTTCTGGTTTGTGTGAGTTTTCGACATATGCTTGCTTTTCTCTTTTTAAGGTCTCTTTCTGAGGAGCTTTACCATCTAGGAAGCTTTACAGCAGAGCTGCTCCTCGTCCAGAGATGTTTTTGTTTACAAGTTATCCATCAGAAAGTGAATAAATTAGCCATAGAGGGGAGGACATGGTCATTTACGGTACAGTACATAGGCGGTGGGGTTCAAACGCATTTCATGTAGTTCTAAAGGTCCCCAAAGTTTCACAAGATAGTATCTCCAACATGACACTACAATCACCACCAACCAGAACAACAAACAAGGATGAATCTATGCTTTCATGTTATTTCTGCAATATTCTGACCAAACATTATGATAAATTTTAAACCTAAATTATGCAGCTGATTCACTTGACCTGGCAATGCTTTCCTAGTGTTATTGTCCAGTCCTCAAGCCTCAAGGTTTACCGCTTGACTGTTGCAAGAGTTTGTTAGTTCTACAGTTTCCTTTCTCTCTTCTTAAATCGGGCTGCTGGTCTCTTAGGATTCCTAACATCAACAAAACCTTATTGTCCACATAATTTTCACTTTCTGTATACTTTCTCAAAGCATGCTCTGTATACCAAAGAGATAGCAGAATTACGAGATTAGATTCTAAGGGTGTTTAGTCTGTATTGTGCCAAAATTTTAAACCAGACGGAGAAATATATAAAAATAACAATCACAAATTAAAGGATACAGACATAACTAATGATTCAGCAAAAAAACAAAACAAACAAACCAAAACAGGCAATATGCGGTATTTTGGGCGGAATAAGCCTGCTGATTAACATTTGGCATTTAGGAAAAGGGTACCTGATCAAACAAGACAGAAGTAAATAAAGGAACTGGTTCTACTAAGCAAAAAACTAAAATGACTAAAATCAAACTTCACAAAAAGCATCAAATCCTGGCTTCAGCACTTCAATAAAGGTAAGTCAAACCTGGTTCGACTCACCTGCCATTTACACATAAACGAGGGCTATAAAGTTAATATTTAATCAGTTATTTCCGTTATTAGGCAATATGTGTGATCATAAGGGGCTAAGTTCTGTGTTAAACTGATTAAATTAGTTTAATCAGAGGTTAGGGTATGTATCTGTTTAAGATATTAATATACCAAGGTTTGCTGTCAGAAGTTTACTTACACTTGTTATGGGCATGATGTTCAAGAAGAATAAAATGTTTATTATAAAATCAGTTATTTAATTAATTGATAAAGGGATCAAAGATAAAGCAAATCAAAACATATAATAAAATTGAGTTAAAAAGTCTACAAGAAAGAATTGCAGAAACTGCTCAAACTTCAGACCAAAAAAACAAAAACATATCCAGAATAAATTTGCTTCTTCATTTGCTAAATCCTGCGACTTTACCCTCATATTCAGTTGGTTGAATAAATCCTTTTATATTTGTTTTGTCATTCATTTAAAACTTTACAAAGTATAGATAAATTAAAAGAAAACTATGCTGGGTTTAGCCTTCACATCCTTAGTCAGGTTTTGCTTCTTTGCCCTTTCATTCTCAAATTAGCATTTTTCTTATTAAAAAAACCACTGCATACCTATTTATTCAACGAATGAGTGTGTTTTTATTTCTCTTGGTTGGTATGTAAATGTCTAAGAAGTTTGGAGATGTATTTTCATAAAACAAATTATAAAATATAATTTCATTCAATGCAACTAATTCTAATCAACTTCTTACTTGTAATTAATAGCAATAAATAACCACATGATCTGTCATAATCTCTCACTGCAAACCTTAAAAAAGTTGGTAGAAATAACCAGCCTCGTATTATTAATTTCCAAAATTATTTGCTTTTGTCTTATAATTAATGAAATAATGGTTTAATGAGTTTGTTTTCTTTTCATTGTTCCTGTCTTTGATAGGGTTAATAACAGGAAACTTCGTAACCAGGTGGTGGCATTGCCGTTCAGCAAGCAGAAAGATCCAACTTTAATCTGCCAGAATGAGTTCAGAGGTAAACACCACCTGCCAGCTCAAGACCAGTGAAGTTGGAAGTGTGTTTGTGATGATCTTCCTGATGGTTGAGACGCTTGTGGGCCTACCGGGAAGCATCGTGGCACTGTGGATTTTCTGTTGCCGTATGAAGTCCTGGAAATCTCATGTCACTTTCCTCTTTAACCTGTGTCTGGCCGACTTGCTGCTTTTTCTCAGTGTGCCCTTCCGCATCGACACCCACTGGCGAGGAGATGACTGGATATTTGGACCAGTTTGGTGCCGCATTAACCAGTACATGTTGTCTGTCAATCGATCCGCTAGTATCTCTTTCATGACAGCCGTGGCACTGGACCGTTACTTCAAGGTGGTTTATCCACATCACTCTGTCAGTCGACTGCTTTCGAGACACGCGCACAAGTTTGCAGCTCTGATATGGCTCATTGTGGTTTTGTATCGACTCCCATTGTTGACCACCAACCTCCTTCATAAGGAGCATAAAGAAAAAAAAATATGTCGCAGCTTCCACTCCTACAAAGTAATCCCTCTGGCAATAAAAGTTCACTATGCTTCTTATATTTTAGAGTTTTTCCTGCCATTTTTTTTGTTGCTCTTCTGCTCTATCGGGATTGCCTGTCAAGTAAGAAAGCTGAGAATGGATAAAGGGAAAGTACAACGGGCCATCAGAGCTGTGATGGTCATCACTACGGTGTTCACCTTCTGTTTCATGCCAGGTGTCTTTTCAGGCCTGGTAGGGTTGTACATAAAAATGTACCACAAAGAAGCGTGTGAATCTTACAGCATATGTATTAATGTCTTTATGGTGTGCATTGGCCTGACCTACCTCAACAGTGCATTGGATCCTGTCGTCTACGTTTTCACCAGCTCTGTGTTTCATCACACTCTTAAGAACTCCTTCAGATGTAAAAAGACACCAGAGCAGCAAGTAACATATAATTCCTGTCCAGTAAAAAGGATTTAATATTCAGGGTATTGTTTAAATGGAAAGAGGTCAAACAAATGTTAGAAATTGTTATTTTGCCGAAGGATGTTTTAACAGCAGTCCAGATTTTTATAAGCTGAATTTATCATATCAGTGTACTAGTAATGGTACAATGAATAAAAGTTACATTTCCTCTTTCTTCATTGTATTTTAGTACGATTAATCCTGAACTTTTGAGGAAGGACATAGAAGTACTGTAATGGCCTTATGTCTCTGTTCGTAACATCTGTACTCACAGCATCATAGTGGCTGCCTAGTGGTTAGGGCGTTGCGCTTGGAATCCTGAGGATCTGCGTTCAAGACCAACTCCCACAGACTGCCACTCTGGGTCCCTGAGCAAGACCATTAACCCCACACTGCTTGCCAGGCGCTGCACAACGGCAAGCCCACTGCTCCCCAAGGGATGGGTCGAATGCAGAGGTGAATTTTTCCAATGTGAGATTAATGAAGTTCAATTATTATCATTTATATTTTGTTTAACCTTCTCTATGCAAGATGGCCGCAACAAAATTTCAAAACACATGGTCTGATTAAAGTACACCTGATTTTCCTGAAAGCTAAATTGACTTCATGTTCCAAGCATCTCTCCCAAGGGTAATTGTTTCAATTTTAATGCAAACATGACTAGTGTAAAGGTCTTTTATAAAGCGTTTACACAAACGCTTATTATTTCTCTAATGGTATAATAGTTTTCTAAGATTGTTAAGCTGGGGCTCCTCTATCCTGGCTAGCTGCTACCTTACAGTCTGATTTATTTTCTCTTTATTCAAGCTGACTGACTTTGATGAACTAATCCTTAACTTTCCCAAATTTTTTTATGATTAATAAAAGGAAGAAAATTACACAAATCTGAGCAGAATAATAAAGTTGCATGCTTTCTTTTTCTTGGCTAGAGATACAACTGTATCTGTATCTGTTACTGTTAGTTAAGATGTTATGCTGGATTATTTGAAATGACTGAAACGTTATGTGCTTTCTGAAACATTTAGCTTATAATACACTTTCTTCAGACAAACCTTGAGTAATAAAAATCCATTCATTGAGTCTCACATTACAAAATCTATTAGGGTTATTTGCAATAACTGATGCACATATTTAAACTGGTATTTTTTATCTTCATTTGAAACTTCAATCTTTCTTCGTCCACAGTAGAAAATAGTTTCAGCTAATGCTGAAAGGACCATATTGTGCCAGTAGGTGAAAATGAAATCAATTAATTGCACATAAAACAGTCTATACAAAGATAAGGGTTTAAGCTACGATAGGAGGAAATATAAGTATGAGTAAACGAGGAGAACATGCAAACTCCAAAAATATTAGTCAATATCTTCAAGAGAGTGCTAAAAAGGTACAACTAGAGGCCCACTGCATCGATATGCTTTCATAAGTAGGAAGAAAACAATTGTGTGGTGCTTTTGTGCTAGCATTTACACGCTGAAACATGAAATCTGCATTGTCTGATTTTTCCACGCTGAGACCAAGTTTAAAAAATTATCTTTCACACATCTCCCAAAAAGGTGCCTGTTAGATAAACAGCTTTAATTGACAAAATGGTCACCGCTGCTGCCACAACCCCACACAGAGAAGCCTGTGTTTCCTGACAATCGCTCTATTTGTTTGCAGTGTTTAACTTGTACATGTTTATCAGTTGGGATAACCTCCAAAGAAGAAGACAAGGCAATGATACTTTCTGAACCCTTAAGAAAATAAACAAACCACCCTATCTCTGTTGCAGGAATAAAATCCTTCCATTTGCACTTGCTTCTCTCACATTTACTCTTACAGTATATATTGTTTACTATTTACTTCATTAAAAACTGTAATGGATTTATTATTTAAGTTTTTCTTTCTAGTCAGTACGCTTTGAAAGGCCCTTTATTAATGATAATGACATATTTTCGATTTTTCTAAATGAACAAGTGCATAAAAAGGTGTATTTGCATTTGTTGACTCTCCTACCTTTGTGTGCTATTAGGACATATATATTTATATTTTGCATTTATTTTTCAAAATAAAACTTTATGACACTTAAACCAAGTCTCTTGCTGCCTAACATTATATAAATCTCAATTATCTACAACATCCCTATATGTTCACACTTATGTGGCTACAGACACACACCAAACATCTAAATAATCTACAACTTAATACTATTACTTGCACGTAAGCTATATATTAGTTTAGGTAATTTATATCTTAATAATAGCTGTTTTATAGTTATGTGGTGGTACTTTATAGAAAAGGAGGACCTCTTGTGGCCAACTAGTATTGCACTGAGGTTAGACATTTAATTTCAAGGGAAGTGGTTTCCCTAAATTAGAATTATTAGAGATCCAGGCTCCAGTTTGATTCCAAATCAAAGCTGAAAAATGAAAGGAAACTAAATGCAGTACATTACAGTAAGTAGGTTGTTATGGGTTGTTATGGCTACTTTAATCCTAAATCTTTGACTCTCCTATGGATTATTGTCTAGAGGGAGAGGAAGTTATAGCAACCTGGACCTCCTTACCACCTCTGCAAAGATGCAGGCTGATTTTATCAATACTTCACTTTATTGAGGCAGCAATTCCTACTAAATAAGCCATAATTAAGTTATGAACTGTACATATAATGCTTAACAAATTGACTTATTTATTAGACCAAGATTTCCAACCAAATTCCTTATTTATCTTTTTTTTTTCTTTGTTTAAGGTCCAAAGTTTTTAAGGAAATTAATTTCTTGGTTTACACAGTTGGCCCATAATCTTCAAAATTGAAATAAGTACATATTTGAAATATATTTTCCTAAATAACAGACACATATGTTAATGAAAATATTACATTTGAAGTACTGTTTTATTTTTTCTCGTTGATATTTATAACATAGACTCAAAAATCTGTATTTCCAATCTAATCTTCACTAATTTGAAAAGACAATTTTGGTGCGGCAGTCGTACGTCATTGCGTAGCGCAGGTACGTGCGCGTTCCCGCGACAGCTTCTTCTTCTTTTTTTTTTTTTTTAGCATTCATGTCCTTTTTATAAAGAGGACACCACTGGCGAACACGTATAGGATATTCGCCTTTTAAAATCAAACTCTGTGGTTTCAAATCAGACGACTAAGGGCTTCAATTATTTTAGATTTTATACTTTGGCTGTGCTTGTATTCTCACTCGCTTTTGTGGGTTTGAATCGTATCTAGCGAACATAGTGAAGGGATAAAATGGATTAAATTAATCCTCTGTTGAAGCGTTTTTCTTTGTTCTAACTGTAATTTTGATATAAATCAAGTAGATGTAATGGCAATATATATAGAAAATCTTTAACAAAAATGGTTATCGCGTCACCGGCTTATTCTGGCTTATATCCCCAGTTGTGCGTGTGTAACGGTAGGCTCCAGTGGCGCAATCGGTTAGCGCGCGGTACTTATATGACAGTACATTGTAGAGCAATGCCGAGGTTGTGAGTTCGAGCCTCACCTGGAGCAGTCTTTTGATGTCTTATTCTTTATAAATACATTTTTTCCCAATAGAAAATATAGTTTTAATATGATTTTAATTACACTTCGCTTTCCTAGAGATGCGTTTAAAAAAATTCACATAATATAATAAGTTGATTTACAAAACATTTATACCCTGTAAAACTAGCTTTGAACTAACATTTATTTTCAATTCATTTTAAGTACCATGAGAGATTTTCAACGATGAAAACAAGACTGGTAATTTAAATTGATACATTTTAATTGCTCAAATGCAAGCATAAGTGTGTACATTCTTATTTTTCTCCTGTGTCTCTGTCTCGCTCTGTATGAACTGACAGCCTGTCCTGTTGTAGACAGCCTTTGTCGTTTATATTTCAGTACTGATCAAGTTAGATTTTAAAGTTTAAATTGACTAAACGGCAAATAAACCAAATATAAACTCGGGAGTTGTTTACACCATGCGTTTATATTTTAGTCTCCCCACCAGCAGGGGGCAGTAGCACCCCGTCTGTGGACAGACCGAACAGAAAACAGAACCGGAAATCAAAAGAGTTGATTCATTCAAATGTTGACCTTTTTGTTACACGCTTTTACACACAAAGCGAATATATATATATATATATATATATATATATATATATATATATATATATATATATATATATATATATATATATATATATATATATATATATATATATATATATATATATATATATATATATATATATATATATATATATATATATATATATATATATATATTTTATTTCACCACTAAAATGATGAAAACTATAATTATTATTAAATAAAGGGCAAAGGAATGTGTTGTGTAAAGAGAGAGTGAATCATGAAAATTGCGGTTACTTTTGCTACCAGCAGAGGTCCCTGTTGTCCATCGTTTGGAGATTCCTCTTCCTATTTTCTTTTCTCACCCTTATACTTGAATCTTACTGGCTGGATGCGCTTTTTAAATAAAAACAGCCAAGTCGACTGTTTCCCTTTCTTTCTTTACTCACATCTGTATTCTGTTCGACATCATGTCTATGTCTATTTAACCTAACAGCATGTAAACAGTATGGATGTTAAACTTTGTCTTTTTAACATGTTTAAAAGGATAGTCCCATTTATTGTCATATATATATATATATATATATATATATATATATATATATATATATATATATATATATATATATATATATATATATATATATATATATATATATATATATATATATATATATATAAAGCATGTAGTGTTACTTTTCATGAATAAATATTATTATGTTACAGGGTAGTAGGTGAGATAAAGTTCAAATTAAAATAATAAAAAAAGATTATAAATACCTTTTTATTTTCAAAAGTAAAGATTTGGTCTAGTAAGAGTATTCCCTGTCCCAGCAAAAATTGGTATTTTGTCACGTTCCCTCTGTAATCACTGATCTATAATCACTAACCCCTAAGCCATGGTGGAAGTGTTTCCACCGTTGCCCCAAAAGTTGCTCTCTGAGAACTGAGCTCCTTTCCTACCCTGGATACTGTTCTTACTGTTGACCTTGCGAAAGGTGAATGGATAGGAGCTCAGAAAGGAACTACAATCCGAGTTATTTGGATCCAACCTCAATGTTCCCTTATTCTTTCTGTTCTCCCATTGTAGATTAATAGTATCCTACTCAGCTCTCACTGTAAGCTAAGTCAATTAACTAAATTGAGGATAGTTAAAATCACAGAAATAACTGATAGCAGCTGTAATTGCAAGGCTTATCAAATAATAAAAAGTAGAGTTGTTGCAATCAAAAAAACAAATTAAAGAGCAGAGCCAGTAGTATACTGTAGTTATAATAAGGTTTAGAGCTGTACAATACATTCAACTGTAATCATCATCTCGGTTTCAATGTTTACATTATCACAGCTGCTTATCATAAATTCAATGGGATATCTAGTTCAGGCACAATGCATTCTGGATGTAAATTGCAACAACAAAAATCAACTTGTCACTTTATTTTATTTATCTTTTTAGTTGCTAATTACTACATAACTTATATAAACATTGCAACAGTTCAATGACTTAAGGCATTTAGGAGTTGATTTTATCCAGTATTTAACCTTTGTTTTTCTGGTTTACAGAGTGGTCTAGTGAGCAGCTTTGAGAATAAAAATGCTTTGTCGACATAAGAGGTGACAAAATCCAACTTATGCTCATATAACCATGCAGCTACAGGCCAGCTATGAAGAATACCACCTCTGAATGGATAACACAGCCAACTTTGAAGCAGAGAGCCTGTAACCATCACCTAGTGTAAGTTAAGCCGGAATGTGAACCTACAATTCACATAGGTTCAAGAAAATCAGAGATTATGATGAGATCAGTCAACATTTGGTACCAATTCTTGATAAACCCAAAGCTCTAGCTGTAGATTCTACATTCAATCACCAATACAGCCTTTAGCTTGATTTAATGTTCTAGAGTGTCCGGTGCTTTTCTGAGAAGATGTTAGTCTGGTCTTCTCTTACCCCAGGATTCGAAACTAATTTTTGGTCCATCTTTATTAAAATCCTTACCTGTGTCATAACATACATCGTTCTATGGCCCCTGGAATAATAATAAAACATGCATAAGTTATCAGAGTCTTAAATCAGCTTCCTCTTCTCTGGGTGGATGGATCTGGTTCTACCCTGTCTGGATCTACCCTTTCTAATTTAGTCAAGGTTTGCCAATTTCTATGGTTGTCAATCAAGGCAAGCTGTCGAGGATAACCCGAGGTTATGAGATATTGCTTGTGACTATAAAACAAATAATATTCTGTATAGAAATGATAAAACAACCAATTGATTACAGTGTATCATTGCAGGTTCTCATTAACCAACACATTACACCTAAAGTCATTTTTTGTCTTATTGGTACCAACTTCTTTATGCATTTTGACTTTATTAGAGCTTTACTAACTTTATATTATGCTATATTTACTCAATGTGATTTTAAATAAAAAGCAGGAAGTACCGGGATAATGTGAGTTGATGAGAGTGTGATAAAGGAAAGTAAACAAACAGGAGGCGCCTTATCTAGGAGCCTCCTGTTATGCTGAGACCGGCTCTCATATTTCTACCCTGATCTAGCCTGCAGCAATTACTGTCTTGACAAACCAGAGTAAACGATTCAGATCTGTGTGGTCTTCTCAGATTGAGCTATCATATCTACCACCAAGCCTTTCATTTGACATTTAATTAAAATAAACTTGTCATGAGAGCCGTTTATTTTCGTGTTCAAGATGTCAGCTGTAGAGGGAATGCTACCCACTGGATCTCTCCTGGGGAAGACATACAGGGACTGAGGTTTCACCAAAATGTTGCTTTTTTTTTTTTTAGAATTACTTATGCAACAGGGAGTTTGGATCTTAAGGCCCAAGGCCGCCCTCAGGCTGTAGCTAACCATGCGGCTATGTGTCAATTATTCCCATCTGTATTTGGTTAGTGCAGAGTGTACATACACCAGCTAGCTGTGTGACA